GACGAGATGGAACGGCCGTCTACTTGTGGCACTGGGGTCTCCGCACGAGCAGCCTGTGTGCTTGAGGGGACTGGTGGGTACGCTGAGAGTGCGGAGGGGACGAGGATGATAGAATCATGTAGCCACCTACCGGTGCAACTTGAGCTTGGATTCCGGTGACGAGGACTGGACGTTGGGCGATGGCAAGCGTCCGCGGCGTGAGCGAGGTCATGATCGGCGTCGACAGCAGCGCAGGTCGACAGCAGCGCAGGTCGACAGCAGCGCAGGTCGACAGCAGCGCAGAAGTAGGGGCGAAAGAGAGGACGCAGCCAGCGAATGGGCACGCTTGACGCGCTAATGGGAGCTCTTGACGCCGCTCTTGGCGGAGAGCCGTCTGACGCTGAGATGGGACGTGGACGCGCGTGAACGCAGCCGATGCCCAATTATGGTGATAGAGTTTGTGGCTGTGTTGACATTCATTGTATTCCGGCGAGGTTCACTGGACGTGACTGGTATATACTGCCTGTAAATGGAAGTAAGCGACTGCCGCCGTCGGCGGGTGGTCTTAAATGTAATTTGACCGCGTTCAATACCGTCCAATATATTTCAAAGGCAGCTATTGACCAGCAGCGGCCGGCAGTGACTGTGACTGCCTGTCAAAGCCAGTCGCTGGCTTCCGATGCATTCCGGTGGAGGGCAGGAAAATTCACCATGTATGAGCGAGCGTTGCCTTCGCTCCCCATCCTCTTCTCTGCTTCTATTCGGGACCCTCTCCCATGGATCTTCCAGAAGCCGACGCAGAACCTTTGCATGGGCCGGTCAATAAGTCACGTAAGAAGGCCGAGCTTACTGTCATAGCTGACGCTCTTGGCCTCCCATACGACGCGAAGACCGGTGTTCAGAAACTAGTCAAGGACATCAATGCATACCTTGTGAAGAACCCGAAACTTGCCAATCAGCGTCGCTACCAGGGTCTATTCGCATATCGGAATGGAAAGACGGCCGGGGGAAAGGATGGGGCCAAGACGAGCGCTGATAAGGACATAGAAGATGAGGACGAGGGTGGGAAGCCTCAGAAAGATCCATCCGGGTACGTATTCTTAAGGAGGTTTTGTGATGTCTGCTGACCAGTCTCATTAGTGCGCATAAGGTGCTCACTGACCGTCAAGTTCCGCGCGATCCTCCTGCTCGGACGACACGTCTCAATAGCAGTCGCATCGTGGCCATGCCCACACAACCACAGAAGAGGTTCTCCGAACCTAGTAAGTGTTTCACTGTCTACCTCTCAATCGGCTCAGCTTTAGGTGGATCTGAGCTGACATCAATGACTCACATAGAGACAGGCCTTGGGCCTACTACCCCCTTGTCTACAGGAGACGGTGAGGATGTAGGGAGCAGCAATAAGGAGGGCATAGCAACAAATGAGAGTATGGAGGATGAGCGCAGGCAATCCACACGGGACTCACGTCAAGAATCAGGTACGTCATTCAGCTTGTACGACTTGTGCATGCTGGAAGCGTTGTATATATAGTTGTCGTGGTCCTCGAGCGTCAGGGCAGCATCCATGCGGAAGTCGAAGAAGTTCATGTGCCTGACAATGCCGGCATCGCTATAGAACACCGCATCGAAGGCAGTGAGAGCGCTGCATTTGTGCGTCTTTCGCAGCTACTTCCCATCGCGCTGACCCATGCAAGTACTCCTATGAAGAGTGAGTTCTGAACATTTCTCAAAGCCTGTTATATGTACCGATCTTTTGTAGACAAGGGCGGACGCCTCTCACGGCTGGGATTCACTGGTGATGGTGCACGCATTCCAGTGGGCACCATTCAGTCGATACTCAACCCGCATTCGGAGCCTGGCCGCTACCTTAGAAGTGCCAAGGTGGACTCCTACAGGCTCGACCGCATGAACGGAGATGACGATACACTTGTGTGTCGTCTCTTTGTAGAGGCAGATTCAAGTGCTCGTCCCTCCATGTCGTCTCAACCTGTCAATGTAAGCCATATTGCTGTTATATTCATCACTTCGATTACATTCAATCTTTCCTTGCATAGGCTGCAAGTGCAGGGACATCATCAAAGAGCGGCCATGGGGCAGTGTTTGAGGATGACACAGATTCAGAGCCGTCTTCCGGAACAGCTCCAGCGCGCACACATGCACGAGGCGGAGGTGGCCCTGCAACGACTGTGGGACCTGCTGAGAGGAGCGCACTCATCAAGTATCTTCGTAAGTTGATTGATGCACCCGATTCCCCGTGGAAGAAAGCGAAAAAGGCAAGCCATATCTTGCCACGAGTCAAGGCCGTCGAGCATGCTATGCGAGTTTTGGAAGATTTGGGATGGGAACAGTCACGCGGCGGCTACGTCATTCCCAAAGGTGTGCTACTTCTCCACTGCTCACATATAGTATGATAACTCGTTTTGCGTTACTTAGACTATCAGGATGCTGGTGATCTGGCAGGGCACAAGTTCATCAAGGAGGACGTCCTAGTCGCACTTCAGCTCAAGCACTCACAGGCTGCTGGTGACGCTCAGCTATTCAAGCCCGAGGTCATTGCCCAGCTGTCTCGACTGAAAGCGTGGTACGATGACCCTCAGGGTCCTGAGAACGCATTCTTTGGTACACTATCTATTGGCGACTTCCGTGAGTGGCAGAAGCGTGAGTTGGAGAAGATGCGGTCATCTAGATCTCAGGGAAAGAAGAGGGGTAAGGATAAGGGAAAGAAGCGGGCGAGGGCGGAAAGTGACGATTCTGACAGCGGTAGGAATCAGCGTGGCAAACGGGTGAAGCACATTGATTCCGATGACATAGATGATTCAGATAGCGATCAGTGAATACTTAGAATAGTACTATCCGAGATAGAGCAATTACAACCACTTGGTCCATACTCCAAGACCCTAGACTGATTTTGAATGTGCATCGGATGTGTACCATTTCATGCCTGATGTTGTGGCTTATATATGGGCTCGTCTTTGTGGCTCACTTTCTTCAATACTTACACTATGCTCTCAACATCTGGAGACCTTGTATTCTTGCTACAAACCTACTTCAGTGCCGATATCAGCTTAGTGCGCTCGCTATACATTCTTACCGCACTAGTGTCGCTCTGGCCACTGTGGCGTCTGCACCGTCGTCAGACCCATGACCCTCGGCAGCCTGCCCTTACTGGTTGGTCCAAAAGCCTTCGTCAAACACTTCAAAGCGCTGCTCAGCAACATATACCATACAACAATGACACCGAGTACGGACTGGATGAAGACAGCTCTAGAGCTATTAGTGAAGGCCTACATGCCGACGCTGAACTCGTGTATGAGCTCCTGGGTATCTCCCCAGAGTCCATCTCAGCTTCAAACGCTCTACCGCTTCCTCCCATCATCCTCTGCACCACACATGTAGAGTGCGTGCTGTGTGATCCGCCCCAGCCTCGACGTTCTCTGCGCAGGCGCATTGCTGGACAGAAAGTCAAGGTCCTCACCTCAGATCTCCGATGGCGCGAGGCCACCTTGTTTGTGGCCCACTGTGTCGACTGTCTAGCAGACTACTATCCCGACTTCATCACATATTCGGATCATCAAGGCCAGCGTCGCCAGAAGTTGGACTGTAGTGCCCGTTACCTCCGCATCTCAAAGCATGGAATCTGGGCAGAGCGGCGTTTGGCATGGGCACAAGAACATGCCCTCATCCGCTTTCACTCAGGCTGGGCCAACTTTGCCAACTGGGTCAATGATCTTTTGCCAATGAAACCCCTTCTTACAAACCGCCAGTCTCAACGCTTATTCCTAGAACACTTCACTCGCAGACTGCTTGTGGCCCATGGACAGCACGAAGACTTCTCTGTCCCTGCTCATTCCGATGCTACCACTCTGGCAGCTGCCTTACGCGATCAAATTGGAGCAGATGGAGGAGTGTTGCAGAGTGCCCTGACTCATGGCTGCACTGGATGCACTCATGTCAAGCGTTACTACTCAGACCTTGAAGAACAGGGGGCAATACTTGATGGGGTCAATCCAGATCAAGTAGCTGACATAGATGCTGAGGTATGCATATGGATGTGTTGCTCGGATGTCCATTAACCTTTTGACACATTTTAGGACGAGGAATTAGTACCTAACCCACAAGAGGGCGACATCGAGCTACCTAGGAACTTGGCAGTTCCTGCTCCTATCCATCAGGGGGCTCCTGTAGGTGAACCTCGAGGATATGTTCAGCTTGCAGTTATGGATGGAAAGACGATCACACATAAGGTAGTCAACTTTATTTGCTACCTGCATTTGATCTGCTCACATTAGATTATGAATTCCAGAAGTGTGCCCTTGACGACTGTCGCAACCCCCTAGTAGACTACCGTCGAGGGCGGTTCTGTGAAGATCACATAGATCTCCAGAACGTGTGTGGTATTGTCCCTTGTGGTCGACAAGTTGCCCCAGGTGAAGTAACGTGCGATCTTGAAGCACACCGCACTTGGTATCGGAAATGGCAAGCTCGATTCACCCGTATGTCATTTGCTGGTGTGCAGCGGGTTATACGCAGGCAGCAAGCTGCCCCTAGTAATCCTGGCGGTCACCGCCCAAACCTCCAAGTCCAGCTTCCCCCACTAGCTGATACTCCGGGCCACGAAGTCGTTCATACATTCCGCGCAAAGACGACCTACTGCCTAGAAACCATTCAATGGGCGTGTGGAATGCCCATCGGATGGGGCAAGTGCTATAAGTCTGAAAGCACTCCCCAGGTCCTCGATTTTATCAATAGGATATGGCCTGAAGAAGCGCAACATGTAAGGCCAAGTTTCATCGTATTTGATGATGCTTGTGATCTTCTTCGCCATATTGTCACTCAAGATCCTGGAGACGCTTGGGTCGCAACAACGAAGTTTGTTGTTGATGCATGGCACTATATTGGTCATAAGGCAACAGATGTACTCTGTCGCCTTTGGTGTAATCCAGCTCCTAGAGATGGGTCGCAACCGGACCTGGTAGTGGTAGACACAGATGATCTCGGCAATGTCCATCTGGTTCGTGCATTCAACACTGAGACTGCAGAGCAGTTCAATGCATGGCTCAGTGGATTCGAAGGTCTAATGCGCTCTATGACCAATGTCAACTATGACTTCTTTGTTCATGTACTCTTTTTAGTCTACAGCGAGGAGGTTGAGGAGAGAATAAGGCGGAATAATCAGGAGCTGGATGAGGAATTTTGGGATGCAGTAGAAGAGTTACTTTAGATCGAGTAGTGTAGACATGAATTACTATCTATATTGCATCAGATGGTCCGATAGACATAGACTGCACTATGTTGGTCCAAAGTTGCGAGAGTCATATGCCAAGGGAAGCACGAGTAGACAGGGATGAAGATATTGCTATGGAGGGGCGATTCTCACCCAGATAAGTTCTCATTCAGTTATTATGGATAGCAGAGATGGCAAGGAGTGAATGTGCAAAATCTGAGGGTGAACGGAGGCGATGGGTGATGTGGATAACTTCAGAAAAACGTAACATCGGTGTGCTGCCCAGCGGCAGAATGAGCGCTTCACAGCCATCACACGACTTTTGGCGCTGGCCCAAAAGTCGAACTTGGTCCCCTCTGAAGTTGAAGTGCTTCTCTGTGAAGCTTTCATTTTTAGCAAACAGCTATTGAGATATACAGCTCAGGACATGTCTTACAGTGGAACTTTTGCGAGGAGAAAGACTTGCACAGTCCAGACAAGGATGTGGGCGCTCAAGATGAGTCCTAAATAAGGTAACGCTCACGTGCCTTTGTTGCTCCCTAATTCCCCACGCTCACGTAGCGGGTTTGCGGCCAGTTCCCTCTGTTCTCTCATCATCGGCGCATATGGCATCTCTCCTCGCTGTACGACTGCCCTTCTACAGTTGCAGGCGTAGGTTTCCAGTCTTATCCAGTCTCTGTCTCTGTCCAATCTCTTTGCCCCTTCCCTTCTCTTCACCCTATGAACGTGCGGCTGTGACTGCCCCTCCCCGCACGGTCATCTTCAGTCGCGCAGGTTGTTTGCTATGTCCCACGACCTTCCTGCCGACGCTGATAGTCATACGCTTATCCCTGCATCTTCCTTAATCACCTGGTAGCCCTTCTGATCTGCTTTGCTATGCTCGTTCTGACTCTATGGCGCTTTTTCTCTTACTCCTGGACTTACTGACAACTGGTCTGCCATTCCTTGTGCACAACAATGAGTTACTCTGGACGTGTTCTCTTCACTGGCAATGACCTGCGACACCTTGCAATCGCGTTCATGCGCGGTGCCCAGCTTCACGACATCGTGAGCACCTAACAGTACGTGAGTGCACAACCACGCTCTTTACGAACCACACAGCGTCTATTTCACCGTCCAGCAGGAGCACAGGACGCTCCTTGGGGGGACACGCGCGTTGTCACGTCCGAGTCAAGATTGGTAAGGTTCGATTAGTTCGAGTATCATGAACCTTACATTATCCTGACACGCTGTTTAACTACTATACTATACAGGTCTCACCTGCAACTTGAAGGCAAAAACCAGCAATACTCGCTGGGAAGCGAGGCCGGGGAGATAGGGATCATCGACGCGCGAATACACGAGTCTGGTCTCGTTGCGTTGACAGGGTCGTTGACGTTCTTGGAGGTGAAGGAGTGGTCAGGAGGCAAGCCACTCACGCTGGCCAACCCAGGTGCGTACATTCGTTCAATGCTGCCATCTCCATGAGCGCATACAAGCCATGGCGCAGGCTTGTCGCAACCTCCCCAGTCATGGGTCGTCATCCCTCCCGACGAAACTATCTCGCGACATGTCGAACTCCTGCTTTCTGTGGAGACGACGATATACGGGGTCGACAACCTCTAGAGCCTCGACCAGCGTATATCCCGCGGACCCTTCACCCATATGTCTCCCTCCCCGAATGGCAAGTCGCTCGCTCTTCTCATCTTTTCTGGACTCCTTTGGGTCGTGTCGACGAACCTCCAGCGCAGCTTGGCCAAATCCGACACGAGTGCGGTGGCAGGCGCCTCGGGGGACATGCCTCAAGTGGAGCGGGAACGAAGCAGTGACGGTGACTTGGCCCAATCTTGTAGTGCTGGTAGGACCCTTTGGGGACACTTTGCAGTACGTCCACCATCTCCCTGTGTCATTTCGAATCACCCGCCATATGTATGCGCACACGTGTCTAGGTACTTCTACTGTGGGTCGACATTCGCCGTAACAGAGCCGGACGGTATCCGTATCGTCAGTCCAGACACCTGTGATGTCGTTCAAAAGGTGCCCGGTACGTCCCACAAACGCGCTTTCTTTGACCCCTCCATTTATATTGCGATGCAGCGTCCTCAGTGTCGGTCTTCCGTTCCGGCTAGACATCACCCTCTGCTTTCCTTTTCGACGCTTGGAAGAACTTTTCAAGGCGGTCGCTAAAGGCAGACGAAAGTATTCGCAGCATATGTCCAGAGCTCGCAGAAGCAGTAGACGAATGCATCGACGCAGCTGCGCGGGAGTGGGAGCCCTTCTGGCAACGGCGGTTGCTGAACGTACACTCTACCCTATGCCCTCCCGATGTCCCTGACTTCGTACGTTCATCCAGGCCGCGAAGTTCGGTCGATCCTTCCTTGACTTCTACGATCCCACAGACTTTATCCAAGTCGGGCAACTGCTCAAGGTCCTCAACGCCGTGTGCTTCTACGAGATCGGCATCCCGCTCTCCCATATGCAATACACGCAGCTCTCGCCCTCGCACCTCATCTCCCGTCTCCTGGCGCGGAACCTCCACCCCCTCGCGCTCCGCATCTCGTCCTACCTCGCTCTGCCGCCCTGACGCAGTGCTCAAGCATTGGGCGTGCACGAAGATCCTCCGTTCAAAGCCGCAGACGACTGGTACGGGCAAGAATGCGGACCTCGAGTCGGGTGATGAGGCGCTGTCGTGGGTCATCGTCGAGAAGTTTGAGACGCTCGGCAGAGGGAGTAGTGGGGTGAGCTATGCGGATATCGCGAAAAGGGCGTGGGAGGTGGGAGGACGGTGCTGGCGACGAAGCTGCTGGACTACGAGATGAAGGCGTCGGACCAGGTCCCGCTGCTGCTGTTATCTCCCACCTGAGGGTGATGGAGGGTGATGGATTGCACTTCGGCGGGCTTGCTCGAGGACATCAAGATAGCTGTACTATAGTCTTGAAAAAGTAGGCCGATGACAGTAAGCGTGCATGGCGGCGTACCGGTTCATGATACTGAAGTCTACTGTGAGTGACTGACAGGCATCGAACACCAGTGGATCACAATGTACTTGAGCTTCCCATACAATGACATTTGACGACATCCAACAACATCCGCTGGCTGTCCTTGGAATCCAATGTCAGAGACTGGTATTCATCGCAGCCCGACGAAGTCCGGCAGCATCCGTCGAAGTCCGTCCATCTCCGACGCTGTCCACCGGAATCTGCTGGAATCCGACGCTGTCCATCGGAATCCACTGACCTTTCCAGTTCCGAGCATACTACTGCGTACTCGAGCTTCCAACTTTCCCTCGTTCGCTAATATACCATCCGGCCACGACACAGTCCGAGACAGATGACTTCGCCGACCCGACGGCGCTCCTCGGCTCGGAAGGCGACAAGGAGCTCGCGCGCGCGACAAAGCAGATGGGCCCGAAGTGGGTCAGCTCTGTGCGTAGCACCTTGTTTTATTCCAGTCTCTCTTCCTCGCACAATGTATGATGACTATACTGACAAGTGGAGGGCACATGCATGTAGCTCAAGAAGCGCCTCCTGGACCGCGCGGTAGCGTTCGACATGACGTTGGAGAACGATGGCTCGGACATCGAGGGTATGTATTGTCCGAGGTGTAGAGATGGTGAGGCTTTCCGGTCTCTATCATGGGTTTCTTGGCTGTTGAACGGGCGCGATGTCGTAGTGTCCATGGAGAGCACTAGCCGTGTTCTGTCGTGCGGACATGAGATATGCGAAAGGTGTGA